CCTTAAATGCTGCATCGCTCATTGCCACTACGCCGCATCGTTGTCAAAAGAAATAACGATTGCTCAGCATCATACTTTGCCCCAAAATTTGTTCTGAGCATACACACTTGTAAACAAATACATCGAACTGCTTATGTGCATCTATATTTCAATAGTAACAAAGTAACACAGCAAACGGAAATTTGACACTTCAAACTCGCCTTCAAAATTGATAAAGCCCTTTTATTATTGGAATAGAATATTCGCAAACAAGAAAGACTCAATTGGTTTCGATATTGAATGCAGACTCGGAAGCAAATTGAGATCAACCTTTTTCTTTGATTAATATGCAGTGAACTATTTTGCAGCATTTAAACAATTGAAATCGGTGCCCTATTATAACTTTAATGCATAGCACCAGTACAGATGATCAGATGATTGAGATTTTATGTTTAATAAAATTCAGTTAACTTTGTTAGAAACATTTATTATAAAATAGAGCATATAAAAATAAAAGAACTGCTTTTTAAACAGCAAGAAATGCTTTGTGCACAGTGAATTATCGTAAAACATAGTGTCCTGTGCTGACGATGCTCGTCACATGACAAACGAAAGATCAGGAAGGATTCATCGGGGTCGTGGGACGATGAGTAGAGGACTTATTTTCACAAATCTAGTCACAGCTCCAAAACAAGCGCCCTTTGACTTACGGTGAAACTAACGAATCCAATCTATTTCTTCATCAAATGAAATGAAAGGTAATCCAACATTAAGTTGTTTGAGCTAGTCATGTGGACGAACAATTATAATTAGACAGAAAACAAACCAAGAATAGTACATATGAGATGTATCCACTATATTTCGTTTAAAGTGATAAAGGAATGATAATTAAATTTTTCCCACAATGATATGAGTAGGCCCTACGTTTCAAATTTATTTCGTATAGCCCTGCTTCCTAAAAGCTATTTTACTCAAAAGTGCACTTCAGTTTCGACCTGGCCTGGGTCTCATCAGCATTCCCAGGACTTGAAACCTGGTAATGCACACTATAATCTCAACACGGTCACAGGACAGATGTGGCTTTCAAGGAAGGCCAAGCCTTTTCTAGTGGGATTATATGGTGGGATTGTCGATAATGTTGCGCTTGCTACAGCAATTGATTGCATTACTTATTTTTTAATTGTAAGTAGGCTTTCGAGACTTTAAACGGAATAGGATGAATACATCTCATATACATGATCTACAGGCAGAATCGAAAACCTAATTATGAACAAAAAAGAAGTAATTTAGTCGATTTCTATAGCAAATATAACTTTGCTTCATCGACGATCCCACCACACAATGTGATCTTCCTTGAAGCTAGCATCAGCGCTGTGACCCAAAGCACTTATGGGCAAGTAGCGTAGTAGTCAACATGTCGAAATTATATTCTGCACTGTAACGGTTAGAGTCCGGCCAGTGGTGTTGATGAGACCCAGGCGAGGTCGAAACTCTCATCCACTCCTGCCCGGACGAGAATACCTTTAGAGAAGTAAATGGAAACTCCAAAAATACTCATATCACTGGAGGAAAAATCAAACTAGGAGTCTTTCATCGCCTTTAACGAAATAGGGTCAATATATCTAGTATATACGAGCTACCGGTGGTCTCGGAAATCTATTTATAAATGAGCAACAATAAGACTAGATTGCCAATTATAAAATTTGAGGTTGACTTATGAGCGAGTTAAGAAGGCCTGGATAGTAGATAAAAAAAGAAAAATTTTAAATGGAAAAATACAAATGGAATGGTCAAAAAATTTGTATGGAGCATACAACAGTATGCAGTACCTAATTAGTAAATATGCATACCTAACTAAAGCTGGATATGTAAAATTAGTGCATTGGCTTATCTATTTTATTTCTATATATTTAGAAACGAATTGAATCAGAGCATAAATCGTGCACCCTTAGTATAAGGAGGACCGTTAAGAAAATTACAAGAAAGAATTACTTAGCCATTCTATACCTTAAATTCGGTTTCATCTGAGCTAGTACAAATTCTATTGTCTAAGGAACATACGATAACTAAAAAAAACGATGCATTTTTGTTGGGCCAGTGTGACATATTTATGTAGATTTAGACAAGGCATACCAGTTTAACGTTGCCAGAGGACATCCAGGCGTAACCAGTAGCAACGCTAGCTAGAGCTGCAAGGCGCGAAATACCGGCAGGACGTACTAAGGCAGTGCGAGCACTGTCCCCTTTAATTGCGATGTTTTCTGTACCAACAACTTCCTTAGATGTCAGCAATGTACCAGTGACATCCTCACTGTACCTGGCGAGTTTGCTTTTATTGATTTCTTCGCCTAGGTAACTCGAAGAGCAGCTTGCAGAGCAAAAAGGCCTTTTTGATTCACCGGGACAGTTCGCTGACGCTGTAACTAGCGGGGATTTCAGCCGACAGTCACTTTCAAGTTCGCCTACTAGATCCAAAGTATGACTCGAAGATAAATGAGTCAGCTGCTGCGAAGCGTTTCGATGGTCGCAAGAGGGGTCTGCGATCAGCGAAGGATATTTACCTCGTTCCTCGATTTCAAGTGATGTCCATGCCAATTCGTTATTTGGGCGCATCTTGAGACGTTGCCCATCCCTTTTGTTAGTCTCATGACTGCTTAAATGCCCTATGGGTGCAGAGGTGGTATTGGTAACTAAGAGGAAGCGACGCCCTTGGGAAGTGTGCACCAGCCGACTGCTAACTTGTCCCACTTGGTTCGCAGCTGCAATTTGGCTGGGTTCAGAAGGCATAAGCCCTGAATCCAAGGTCTGTGGGACTTTCGAAGCGCCGGTAACTGGGACCGAAATATAATTGCGTCCAAAAGGACCCTGGTCGGTCGAGTCAGTTGACCAAGGAGAACCAAGTGAACAGGAGGGAGGAAAAGTTTGCCCTGAATGCCCGGGGGATGTAGAGCAGACTGGAAGAACAGGTTTTCCGGCCGAGTCAAAATCCACAACCCCTTCCTCATCTTCCTCAGGCATAAGCTCATCCTCATCATAACTGGAGGGCATAATAAAGAAATGAAAAATGAGAGGGGAAGAGTAAGAACGTTGTTGAAAGAGAAACAGCATAGTAATATGGATTATAATTCATCGTCACAATTGCAAAAATCCCTTAAGACATCAAAAAGCATCAGACCTATAAATATGCTGAAATAATATAAAATAAAATTAAAAAATAGCGAAGTTATTAAACAGAGCTTGCGTTAAATATGACATTAGTGAGCGCCTAATATACAGGATAATTCAAGACACGGAACATAGAAGAATATAGTGAAACATAGAACTAAGCATCTGCTGTAAACAGATATGCTGTGTCCAACACAGATCTGAGCAGTCTCGCAAAGTACTATAATGGAGAACTTCCATAACATGAGGGGCTTCGCACAAATGAGAATATTTTCAAAATAACTTTCGAGAATCAATGAATCGGGAAGAAAAAAATCATAAATTAGCACTAAGAAATGGTCTGTGAATGAGTCATGAGTAACTTACCTAAGAGGTTCCTCAAGCAGCTAACAAGTTTTAAGCGAACTATCGCGAAATATAAGGCTCTTAGAAGGTGCAGTGAAATGTATGTCCCTCTCCAGTAAGCCGCGTAATTTCCTTAGGTTCGATTAATTTTTACAGCTTAGAATCTAATCATGATAGAGGAGCCACGAAATACTTATGAAAATGTAAAAGCGACATTGATGTAAAGTTTTACTAAGTCATTCTCTTTTATAGCCTATTATTTTGTTAAAGATTGATGTGAGCTAAAATTTGTTATAATATAAAGAACGTTAAGTTGGCCAAAGTAAGTCTTGACTATAAGCTGAAGAAAAGGACCATTATGATAAGCTGTTTAATTTTTTTATAAAAACAACTATATAGAGCCGGATAAAGTGAGACAGCAGGTACGAACAGGATAGTATCTGCATGGTTGTCATGGCGGAGAATAAGACGCCAAAAGCCAAGTATGAAACGAAATGATGCGTATTTATACAAAGACCTTGGCTGCAGTGGCAACCGTACCATTGTCTGCCTAGACGTAATAAGAGAATAAGGCAGAATGCGTACATCGAAAAACGAGAAGATAGACGCCTTAGAGTCGAGGCGAAGCAGCGATGACAAAGGCGAAGCAGGCCAAAGCAGTTATTAAGGCGGTTAAGGGTGACCGAGTCGATGAAGCCTTAGTAGGCATAATCGATCGGCAGAACTGGCATAGACAAGGTATCCATTGGAGCAGCCAATATAGAATAAGCATGCAAATAGGCACAGACACAGAACAGCATGCACAGAACATCGTAGAGAAGTCTAGAGATAGGCAAGCAAGTCTTGATGCAGGCTAGAGGCGCGGCGTGCACACTATGTCACACGGATAAACCAAACTGGGTCTGCCATGTCAATGCACGCAGACATAAGCCAGTGAGAATGTACATATCGCGTAATGAGCAAACGCCTCTGAACGAGTCGAGAGTGAGCAATCATGTAGCAGCGTAAAAGCTCAGAAGCCCTTTTCAGAGCAAGGATTTTGACAATAGCACACAATGAGATATTAGCTAAAAACGTATTGGACGAACTACTGCAAAATGAGCCTAGTAATGAACAAAGAAGCCCGGAGTAGAGTTTGCCAGAATACAATTTAATAACTCACACAACCACACTGGAATTGAAGGTGTGAATAAAGCATAGTACTTCTTAATACTCTAGAGATTCCAAGGAGCATGTCATAAGGGAAAAACTCGAATTTAAGATTAGCTTGCTGCAGCCGAAACCTAGCAAACTCAGACCTTGAATATGAAATCTTTTTACTCTAAATTTTGGACGGAATCAATATAGGGGAAAAACTATGTAAGGAACAATAATAACTATCCAGACTCAAATTATCTACTGAAATACTGTACACATCATATTCAAATTTGAAATTAACTGAGAAGGAACTGAGATATGACAATACCCTGTCTGAGTTAATTATTTGTGCAAGAAGTTAGCCAAGACTATACTTTTTATTTTAACGGGAGAATAGGACATGTATCTTAGGTATGCTTAAAACCCTCTATAGTTGTTCAAATAAGTGAGAGATCCAGATGACTCAAGGTTGTAAGCATACTAGCCTATTGGCTTGGAAACATAGCACAAGACTCTATCGAGCAAGTGGATACTTAGGCAAGTCCATTGGCAAATAACAGCCGAAGGAAGATTAAATCATACTATGAGATTATCATGGGACAGAAGTTAAAATTAAATTATGTGGAATAAGGAGAAACGATGAAAAAAAGTTTAGTGTCAACTACTCGCCAATTCATCTCATCATGTTTTTTCTTTGTTTACTCCACTTTGTGGATATTTTAATTTCATTTGGGTCGGCTTAGAGAATTTAACTGGGTAGTACTTAGCAAAAGTTGGTCTGAGAGATAAACTGGGCAACTCTTAGCATGGCATTCTAAGCAATCTGACAAAATTAGGCGGTTAAGAAATTCATATGAAGATAATGGATAACTGTAAAAGGCCATCAAGATATACTAATAAGTGAACCATTGCCAGGAGCGTGAAGTACGAGTAGTACAACTATTAAAGTAATTTAAATAAGCTCTAACTATATATATATATATATATGGGTCTAAATTTTCTAGCT